CTGTTCTCTGTCAGCAAGTTCTGATCAAGAACCATTTCCAGTCTTAATTATTGGATGTAATGTTTTATTTGATACACAGGAGAGGAAAAAATGCTACCTGTCAGCAGATTCTCCAGCCTCTGTCATTAGTGATGTTTTCTGCCAAGTATCGGGCACAGAATAAATAACCACCCTCTAGGTAGCTAGGTTTTTCTCTTTAACAGATGAAAGAGAAATTCAGGATTTTGAAAACAAATGGAAGACTTGAAAATACTGTATGTTGTCATCTAATACATGAGTCTTATATGTTGTGCATGCATGCTGCATTTACACATCTAAATATCTCATACATAGTGTATATTTGTAATTCATTATGTAATCACCTGTATTCATTATATAATACATCTCAGTACTTTTTGTTAATCAGTTGTCACAATATTTTGCTCCAGAAGATTCTACTCAGTTGGGTACAACTAAGTGGAGTATGACACTAAATATCATGTCAATGTTCCCAATTTCTACACACTACTACTACCTGTGGCTGCATGTAAGTCATGCTTTTTACATTTAGCAGCATTTGGCAGTAGGAAGAGGGATTTGTTTGGAAGAATTGAGCATGAGCGGTGATAACACAGACGAAGCAAGCAAGCAGCCAGAGACAGACTTGGCTCTATGGATTAGAATTTTTCTGATGGCCTTGTTTTATTGTGGCTCAGTTCTGAGTCAAGCAACATCAAAACAGAAAATATGAAAAAAATGCTCTTTAAGTTGATCACTGTACATTAAATAGCTCAGTACAGTGTGTGTGTTAACTTTTCTATGCTACATCAAAGTGTTTTGGGAAATGTGCAAATCACATGTGGAATTTCAAGAGCAGTGGTTCTCAAAGTGTGGGGCGCGCCCCACTAGTGGGAAATGAAGACATGACAGGTGGGGCGCAATGAATGGAAAAAATTAGAAATGGGTCATTAATACAAATAAATTAAAATAACATCAGTTCGGGGCCCGGGAGAAAAAAGTGGAACCATAGTGCAACAATAACAGTTTACTGTCGACATGTTAACTGCCGCGCAACAATATAATGAAACGTTCACACAGAGGGCCCATAGTGTACGTAGTAGGTATAATAATGTAAATGGATAAATTTGTTACATGGACCACAAAAAAGCTGGCGATTCAGCGCAAGCAGACAAAGAAACGGTTGGCTTTTTAGTTGATAAGGCTACTGCCAGACGAAAAGAAAATATGATGAAGCCCATTTTGCGCTTGGATTCACGGTGGGAAGGGTGTGGGCAGAGGAGGGACCCATGTGTGTCTTGTGTATTACAGTTTTTCTGAATTGCTAAAACATGTTTACTGAAACCACCACACATTTTCTCAAAACCTTAAACACAAATCCAAATACTCAAACTAAATTCACAAAACCTCTGACTCGTCTGGCAAAATCAAGCAATTGCTTCAAAACCATGTCACCAGCACTCAAAATCAAACAATACTTTGAGATCATACACAAATGGGTCAGTCATATACACACTGCAGCTCAGTCATTAGACACTAGATCAAAAAAAGGAGAACACAGCATCCAGGACATGTAGTTACAACAAAAAAAGTTTATTGTATAGTGAATTTACCAAAAACCATGTTACGATCAAAAAAGAAGAAGAAGAAAAACACATCAGAAAGATTATTCTGCCTCAAGATCACGTCTTTGAGCTGGGCCCGGCCAGAGGGCTTCATCTACGTCGCAGGCAATGTTGTCCCTTCCCAGACAATGGGCAAAAAACCCTCTGGTGTGGTGGATCCAGCCTGTATCTCACCATAGGCCAGTTCCATTGCCTGTAAGAGATTTTCCCTGGCATTTGGGTTTCGGTCATAGACTTTCCACCGCCATGCAGAGCAAAACTCTTCTGTTGGGTTGAGGACAGTGTTGTATGGTGGAAGGACCACATTCTGTTCCTGGTCTTACTCTTCCTCGTCCTTTTTGTCCAAAACCTCATATTCCTCTACCTCTCATATTGTTATCCATAGTTGATGGATGCACCCGTTCCATCTGTGCACTTTGAACTGGCTTATGATTTGCTAACAGAGTCCAAGTGCCTGAACTTGTTTAAGGTTTTGCAGAAAGAGTGATTTATTCAACAAATTGGTTTAGGCTATTGAGAATTTGGTTCAGAGAATGGGGTTTATTGTTTTAGCAATTGTGAAAAACTGTAAACCGCTGGCAGCAGACAGCATGAGACCCAACAAATTAAGAAGACATTTAGAGACAGCACACCCCAGTCACGTTAATACGCCACTCGACTGGCAGAATACCGTCAGCAGAAAAATCGCATGGCAAAATCTGCATCAGTGAACAGTAAAGCACAAATGGCTTCATTCAAAGTTGCATACAGAATTGCCCAGTGCAAAAAATCCCACACAATTGCTGAGCAGCTCATTCTCCCTGTTGCTGTAGACATGGTGTTGATTATGCTAGATGAAACAAGTGCTGCAAAATTGAAAACTATTCCCCTGTCAAACGATACAGTTGCACTTATATTTTATCTGTTTTGAACTTGGTGTTATTTGATATTTCAATACATTTGAAATTTAAAAATTGGCCGATTTTGTTATTTTTTTGACAAGTGGGGCTTGAAAATTCGCCCACCCTCTTCAGTGGGGAATGACAAAAAATGTTTGAGAACCACTGGTATACAGTAACAACAATAGTGAGTAAAACTGAAAAATCACATTATAAGTCAACCATTTTGGTCATTGTGATGTATAGTGTTTGAGCAGCTTTCATGCTCTTCTGCTGTGTTTGTTATTGCATGTAACAGAGACAGTGGTGATGAGAGGTAGGCCTGTGTTTGTGGAGTAATGCCTCTGCTGGAGCTCAGTATGGGTGTGAGAAATGAAGGCACGCAAGCTGTCAGTGAGAAGAGGGTGGAGTGGGGATAAAGAGGTGAAGGCACGGGCACACAAACACATAAATACACACACGCATACAGACACACACGCACACACACAGAGCAACACAACTGTACCCAGCTTTACATCAGATCCTGTGAGCCAATTGGTTCTGATCAATCAGGTTTTTGAAAAAGCAGACCACATAGGCGGGCAGTTCCTGTGCAGCGCATCAGCTCAGTGATGACTTCATGCAGTCTGAGACAGGGCTTCTATATTTAGTCTCAGACAGCATGCAATGACTGCTGCTTCACCAATATCCATACAGGGACTGGCACAGACAGCGAATGTGGGCTTGTGGTGGAGGATCAGTATTAGCAGGCACTGGATGGCATGACTTGCTTTTTTTTTAAGAAGAAGGGAGAACACGCCCCTGTATTGCTGACACAGTACAGCATTACATTCTTATTGTATGTGAAAATAATGTATTCATTCAATATATGTAATAGATCCCAGGAAGGAAAGAATATATATGTATATACTGTATATACAGTATATATACTACTTGCACTATATGCAATGTGCACTTGCACTATATATATTGTATATATCTGTATATATAGATATATACATATATTCTTTCCTTCCTGGGATCTGTTGGAGCCACTCTCCCAGTTTGGGGGTCACAGCCCCCAATGTTCCCTATTACCACGGGGACCACTTGTGCCTTCACCTTCCACATCTTTTCTAGCTCTTCTTTCAGCCCTTGGTATTTCTCGAGCTTCTTGTGTTCCTTCTTCCTGATGTTGCCTGATGTTAGACTGCCAGAAAATCAACTGTCATGAATTTTGACCACATTAACATCAATATTCAAGTGCAAAAGAATGAAGGGAACATATTTGTGAGAATTTAAAACTCAGTAAAAACAACTACATACGATGCAAGATTTAAATTGTGACCAATTTAAGCTGACGATATACAATGTCGGGCTGCCATATGGACAGGCAGCACACTTGTATTTCTGATGAAACAATGCTCTTCTTCTGAGACATGGTTATAGTCTAGTTTATCAACAAGTTTGAGCTTCTCTTGTCATTTAACCACCAGCGCATGTTGTTACTGTGCATTTGATGTGTGCCAGCTTGAACTACTAAAGAATATAAGGATATATATTCATGAGTCCACTGATTTATAATTCCTCAATGAAATGTTTTCCCAATGCATTTTTGTAAGTTTCCTAGTCCCATTTGGATGGATCCATGTTGCAGAAATGTAAGAATAATGGCTATGCGTTAGACTTTAACGGAGATGGGTAAACAACCCGGACACACATAGGCCTATGCAAAACCAGCCACACTGTTGTGACCATTAAAATCTTTTCTCTTGTAAAATTAGACCACAATGTTTGAAAACACTTCTAATAAAGTACAAATCTTACCTTGATGTGGCTTGTCCCAGTGGATTTTATTGTCTTTTTCTCCTTGTTCTGGTCAGCAATTTGACAAGTAGTGTCATCAGACCAAATACATCCATGCATCACGTAAAGTGACCTAAGTGGGTATCCCCACCCACCCACACACACACACACAAACTACAGGGGGAAGCATTAAGCAAATTGCTGCCTAGCACACCAGAATGAGGAGAAGAACATGAGATAAAAAAATAAAATACAATAAAACAAAGATTCGGTTAGAAGTCTCAGTCAACTGATAGACCTCTCGACTAATGATTCAGCTAGTCATCTGTCATGGAGCAGCCCTAATATGCAGTGTGCTGTTGTAATACAAATTATGATTTATATTTGTTAACTGATTGGTCAGAAAAGTGGGCAGTCCGGCTTTAATAAAGTTAAAGATAAACAGGATGTCTGCAGATGGGAAGGGTGAAAAAGGTTGCTGTAACTACTAAGTGTAATGCAGGCAGTGACACCAAAATATACAATCAGTAGTGAGATATCACTCATTGTATGATGAATTGCGGTAAGAATTCAAGGGCTCAGACATACTGTAATAATTGTATACTGTCGCAGAAAATGATTTCATTATATTATTTCCATAAATTGAACATCAAACAATTTAACACAACCACACACAAAACACAGACACACATAAGCTATCTAGCATTGCCTCTGATGTTGCAAATACTGTAGTATAGTCTGTAATTCTCTACTAGATTTATGTGTTGTGTGAATAGGACTTCTAGAAATTTTCTAAATAAGACCCACTGCACTGCAGTGTGGTATTGTTCTCTGCAGAGGAGCTAGCATAGCCTGGAAGTGATAGACTGATATCTCAATGGAATGGAGACTGGCAACAGTGCTGGAGGAGGCTGTGAGGTGGAGGCTGCAATATGGGCGGAACGCTGACGTGGCTCATTCAGACTGCTTATGGGAGCATCCTCTTTGCTTCCAGCATGTCTAATATTGGCCACACACAGACAAACAGCGCTAACCTTAACACTGCCAAACATCCCCCCACCCCTGCCATATGATTAGCTGAAGACATTGTGATTGTGACATTGCTTCATCCTTGTGTGCCCTTTTCAGCTTGCTAGCTGGCCAGCTGCTGCTTTTTACCCCACCCGCTCACTAAATTCTGAATTGATTTTGATGCTGAGCCTGCCTGAGGAATAAACAAACCCCATTCCTTTTAGTTTCCATTGAATCTACCCTAGCTATTGTTTGTGCATGAAATGGTATGGTAGCTAGCTGCTGTGTGTGCGACTGGATTTATCTGTGTTTCAGCGAACATTTTGAGATGGCCTCCTCCAGCAGGGGATCTCTGCATTAGTGCAGCACACTCTGCCCACCCTCCCCTCCCCCTTTCTTCCTCATGCTCTCTCTCTCTCTCTTTACTGCCCCTCCCCTCAATGTGCAGATAAGGCACTGTGCTAGTGTGTGTGTGGTGCATGCGCAGGATGGATGGGGATGCTGTATGCTGTAGCTGAGAGCTGCAAGGTGACTGAGGGAATGGATACAGAGCCCTGACGACAGTGACGATGCAGCTCCCTCTTCCAGAGCACATTCTCATCTTCACATTCCTCCATCTCTCTTTCTTCCCTCTCCCTCTTTCTCCTTTTCTAGACGGAGGTGGACCGCCTGCCCTGCTTGCAGCATCTTTTTCTCAGCTGCAACAACATAACCAGGTAAGAGATCTTAGCACTTAACTACCTTTTCCCCTCACGGCAGGGACAGGGATAGTGGCTGGACAGTGCCATGTCCCTTCCTTTGGCACTTGGCAGGGCAACGCACACTGTGACCTAGAAAATAACAACCTGAATGTGTTTTTGTTGTTACTAATTAGCAGCTGTTGTCAATAATTCCTTAAAGTTATTCAGACAGTAGAGATGCAGGCTGCGAGAAGGTGGATTCCAGACAGATCTGAGGATGAATTCAATGGCAGCATTGCTATTGTAGACTAGTGTGCCTTGGATGAATGAAAAGTGTTTGTGCCAACATCAAATTGCTTTACACACTTTTTTCAATATGTTTTTTTTTGCTTCCCACTCTAGACCCAGCAATCAAGATATCATACAGAGTAATTAACTTGTTAATGTTACAGTCTCTCTCAAGCCAGGGGGCGAGAGAGCAATAAGAAGGACCCAGACTGCAGTGTGACAGTTTAGACGAATAGAGAAAGTTTTATTAACACAACTAAAACAGGAGAAAACTGATGGTGGTAATGGCTAAAAGTCAGGAATGACAGTCCAGTTCACAGGGGAGCATATGGGGACAGGCTGACCCGGTGGAGTGGTGCGAGGAAGAGGAGTTATTGGAGATGGATAATGATGGCTGAGTCGAGCGATGAGTGAGACGGTTGCTGTAGGAAGGCTGGCCCAGACGGGATGTGATGGTGAGGAGAGCTGCTGGTGGGTGATGGCTGAGTCGAGTGGTGAGTGAGACGGTTGCGGTAGAAAGGCTGGCCCAGACGGAATGGTGCCGGCGTAACAGGATCGGAGGTCATGAAGCAGGAGCTGGTGTGTTGTAGCTTGTACTGTCATCAGCGTCAACAAACCGGCAGTGAATGAGTGGAGACATGGAGGATATATAGGCCAGGTGGTGATTAGGCAGATCTGCCACAGCTGCGGAGCATTCCAGGGATGCCGGTGTGTGCGGGGAGAGAGGGAGAGAGAAACAAGGAGAGAGGCAGGGAGCGGAGCACAACCCTGACAGGACTCCCTCCAAGGATGGATCCCAGACAGCCGAAACCATAGCCCCCAGAAATAGGGGCTATGGTTTCGGCAAGATGCTCGAAAGGTGGGCAGCCGACAAAAACAAAAAAAACCCATGCAACAACAAACCAAAACCCAAAGTCCAAAAAAACATTGCACGCAGTCCAAAACAAAGACACGGACAACCTACAGTGACCCATGAACGCTAAGCAGGGGCGAAGAAAGACTGTTCGGGAGGACGACCTCAGCACCAAGCTGGATCGACGCCAGGCTGGAGAACTGAGAGACTGCTCGGGAGGACGGCCCCGACGCCAGGCTGGAGAGCTGAGAGGCTGGTTGGGAGGATGGCCCTGACGCCAGGCTGGAGAGCTGAGAGGCCGCTCGGGAGGACGACCTTGGCGCCAGGCTGGAGAGCTTAGAGGCCACTCAGGGGGGCAACCATGCGGCGGGTGG